TTCCCCTCAGAGTTTAGTATAGTATCTTTTTTTATTGTTACTATTCAGTCGTTTTCAGTCATGTCCAGGCATTTTCTTGGCAAAGATACTGGAGTGCTTTGGCATTTCCTTCTCTAGCTCATTTTTACAGATGAGGAACTGAGGCAAACAAGATTAAGTGACTTGCTCAAGGTCACAAAGCTAGTAAGTATGTAAGCTAGTAAGGCCACATTTGAACTCAGGAAGATGAGTCTTCCTGACTCCAGGCCCAGCCTCTATCTATTGTGCTACCTAGCTGCCCACAGGGTGTTGTTACACATAGTATTTAATGATGTTGATAAAACTAAACTGAGTTTTTGAAAAAAAATAATTCAATGACTTTTTTCTTTGGCAGTAGTAGAAAGAGGGAGACCTACCCAACTTTTTAATCCATGAAGTTTGAACCTCTGATCTTGTCCTGTACCCTAACTATATCTTAACAAAAACCACTGAAGACTCTGGGAGAAAATGAAAATGAAAAAAAAAAAATTGGTGCATTAGCCTTTGGGTGTAGCCAGTAAAACATAAGAAGAGTATGGCTGTCTGCCTTTCTGGAAGAATCATGCCATGATTTCACATGCCACAGCCATGTTTCTTCAAATGTTTTCTTCTCCAAATGGAAAACCTGTTTCTTTCCCTCACTAACCCTTTGCTAGAGTATCATTGAAGGCCTGATACTCTGTCACCTCCTAATTGTGCTCTCTCTCTTATACCTCTCTTCTCTTTTGCAGCTCTCTAATTCATCCTTCTTCACATTCTAAATAGCTATATGATTGAGACATTTAGATGTCTATTATACTTGTGTGCTTTGCTAAGACAAAACAAAAAAAACCTTCATAACTAAATTCAAGGTCATGTAAAATATATCACCCACTCAAAATAAATTCAAAGGTTTTGTTCTAGTTATACTGTCTAACTGTCCATTTATTTTTTAGTACCTACTATGTGCAAAGCATTGTGCTAGTAGAATATGAAGATAAATAAAACACAGCCTCTACCCTTACAGAGCATGACATCTAGTAGGCTAGATACATAAAATTGTTATAGTACAACTATGAATGAGATAAATGCAGAAGAGAAGTACAATTTGGTACCAGAGAGAAAAGCAAGAGAGAAAATTAGTAGCTAGAAGTCAAAAGAGGTGTCATGGAGGAGAAGGTATTTGAGCTGGACTTTAAGAAGATCTGGAATCTCAAAGGGTAGATGTGTATGTGTATGGAAGCACAGTATAGTCACCATGACAATTCATGTTAAAGGAATGAAATCAAATGGAAAACCTTTATATTAAACACTTACAATGTGCTAAGTACTGTTGTATGCTTTGAGAACACAAACATAAATATAAGACAGTCCTTGGTCACAAAGAACTCCCAATCTATTAAAGGAGACAACACATGTAGGAGAGTTTAGCTGCAGTCAATGGAAAGGCCCAGTGTTCCTTAGGGTACCATGATGGATTGGAGGACAAAACCCAGAGGTAATTAGGATATAGTGGCAGAGCAAGGTATAAATGGTGATGTTGACTCCACGGTCAAGAGTCACAAGAGAGCTGAGTCCACAATTGTTTGGAAGGGAGATCCAACTGCGACCTAATGAGGAAGTAGGATGAGGTTTTAAGGAAAGAGACTCCAATGATCCAGTGGCCCTTAGGAGTACAGTGGTGAAACTCTGAGTAGGTAGGGAAGAGGGGGCGGGGTGGTTTGGACTGTGGCTATTGAGAGAAGCAGGTCCTGTTGTGGTCTGGTAGTCTTTACTCTCTGGAGTGTGGTGGAATGATTTGAGCACATACACAGAAGTAGAAGTTGGAAGAATATATTTGGGGAACAGAAAACAGTTTAATTTGACTACAATGTAAATTGTGGGAGGAAAAATATGATTGGTAAGATAAATTGGACAAGGTGAGTGACCTTAATTCAAGTAAATTTGACTTTATCTAATAGGTAATGGGAAATCATTGATGTTTTTTGATCAAAGGAGTTACATGAGAAAAAAACTTGCTCAGGGAAGATTAATCTGTCAGTGATAGGAAGGAAGCATTATAGGAATAAAAGATTAGATACAGGAAAATTAATTAAGAGTCTACGGGAATAGTTTCAGAAAAATTTGGGAAGACCTATACAAATTCATGGAAAGTAAAGTGAACAGAACCAGAACATTGTACATAGTAACAGCAAAATTGTAAGGGTGCTCAACTGTGAAAAAACTTAGCTATTCTGATCAAGACAATGATCCAAGATAATTCCAAAAGACCCATGATGAAAGATGTTATCTACCTCCAGAGAGAGAACTGATGAATTCTGAATGCAGATTAAAGTATGCTTTTTTTACTTTATTTGTATTGTTTTATTTTGCTTGTGTTTTCTTTTGCAACATGGCTAATATGGAAATGTGTTTGACATGACCTCACATGTATAATCAAAATCAATTGCTTGCCTTGGGGGGGAGGCAGAAGGAAAAGAGATAATTTGGAACTCAAAATTTTTTGAATTATTGTTAAAAAACATTTTATATATAATTAGGAAATGTTTAATGAAGTAAAAATGTTTTATAAAAAGATTCTCTTCAAATAGTCTAAATGAAAGGTAAAAAAAACTGGACCGGACTGCCATCAGTAGAAACTGAAAGAAGAGGATCATTTTGAGAGATACCTGTCAGTCAATCAACAATCACTGATTGTTAACTTAATCACTGATTAAGAATTCTAAATGTGCCAAGCATTGGGGATATAAAGAAAGGAAAAACAAAAACGAACAAACAAACATAAAAAGATCCCTGCCCTCAAGGAGCTCACATTTAAATGGGAAGGCAACATATAAACAATCATGTACACACAAGATATATGCGGTGTAAATGGGAGGAAATCTTAGAGGGATGGAATGTGGACAATTGAGAGAAGCCATTCATTCATTCATTAATTCAGCAACTATTTATCAAGCGTCAATTATGGGCAAAGCTTTGCGCTACGTAGGCATGGGGTGGGCAAGGAGAAGCAAAGTTACAACATGGTTCTTGAGGGAGGAATCAAAGATGCCTCTATGGTTCTGAGTATAAGTAGCTGTGCAAATGATGCTAACATTGATAGAAACAGGGAAGTCAGGAGAAGTAGGTTTTGGAAGAAAATTTTCAATTTTGAGCTGGAGGTGGTGATGGGACATTGATGCTGAGATGTCCTCAATGTAGTTGGAAATACTGGTTGGCTACTCAAGAGGAAGATCTAACCTGGAGATTTATTTTTAAAGTCAACCTCATAGGGGACTACTGAAAACATGGAAATGGGTGTGATTGCCAAAGAAGGACCATAGAGACAAGAGAGAAGAGGGCTGAGAAGGCCAGAGTATTGTAGGAATATCATATTTAAGGTGCAGGAAGAGAAAAGGCAGCCAGTGAAGAGACGAGGAATAAGAGCCAAAGAAGAAAACAGAGAAGTAGTCAAGTTATTTTTGTAGGGATGAAAGAAATAAATGTTTCAACTTTGGAAAAATTCAAAATTGAGGGGCCTGAAACCAAGCATGAAAAGTACGAGCCTGTCATTATTTTTGATTCTAGTGAAATAAGATCTGTTTACATGTTGTTACTAAAGCATTTCTTCATTGTTGTTTTTTTTTTTAAATTTAGCCCTTCATTTGTCCTAGAAATAAGGACATGAAACATTTTAAGGAAAGTATCAATATTGACTGCATATCACAAGTTTGCACCAAGTTAGAAGGGGAAAAAGTTCCCTTTTATTATAGTTCTCTGGAGAATAGTGGCTCTAATTAAGTGGGAGGGTGATCATGGAAAAATGAAAAGTTTCAGGAACAAATAATTCTTTTTTTTTTTAATCTAAATATACAGAGGTTTGGTGAAACCAAAACATTACCACATTAATATTTTTTTCCTGAAACAGATTAGATGGATGGTCTGATTGGCTAGTCAGTTTATTTTTATAAGGCCAATTATATGTGATGCCTACTTCAAAGATTTGGAAAGGACACATTACTCCATTTTAATATAAACAGTATCTAATCCAAGGCAGAATTAAACTAGCGTAATTTCATTTGGAAATAACTAGTGAAATTTCCAGCCTGGGCTATTTGTTACATCCTACTCATTCACTGCAAGCCTGGCCAGTTCTAGAAAGGAGAATCTGAGACAGTCATTTTAGGGCGATAGAAAAAAGCTTTGTGATAATGTGGATAGAAGGTAGAAATGCATAAAACCATTTCTTTTGGTTAAAAAGTCTGGTTTTCAAAAAGTTTGGTAAACCCCTTCCTTCAATCCCCTCCCCACTCCACCATGGTCATACTTTTTTTGTACAGAAAGTTACTGAATTATGTCCTCATCTGTACAGTCTGAATACAGAGGATAACACAACTATCAAAACTAGTAAGTTTTTGTTCTCTGAGGAAAGGGATATTCCCTCCTCCGTGAAGGCTTCTTTGATCCCCCTCAGCAAGAATTAAGACCTCCCTCCTCAACTTTCTCATAGTTTTTTTCTCATATTTTTGTACTTATTTTCTCAGAAGCATGTACATGTATCTGTATACGGCTGTAGTAGAGCAATAACTAGTGTGAAGGAACTGGGGTTTTGCTACAGAGTACCAAAATTGAAAGGGCACTGACAGCATTTAATGGTTTTTCAGAAGTATTAGAATAATTTAGTTTAATAGACTCTAAGCAAGGATCAGTAATTAAAATAGGAAGCTATCAAATGGGTTGAATCCCTTGTCCCTCTCCTCTGCATGACTTGTTAGTGTCTCATATTTTTCCCAAACCAAATGGATTTGTCTTAAAAGTTGATTTGAGGCAATGACTTTCTCTTTCTTCAGTACATATTGTATAGTTTTCCCCAAGTATAAAAATTTCTAGTAATTGATCTGCATATTCTAATTTATAATTATTTGTGTATATACCTTATCTCCAATACAAAATTATAAGTACCTTGAGATAGGACCATGTCAGTTTTTCCATTATTTTTGTTTTCCTATTTCTGAGTGCCTTTTATATTCACTTCAGTAGCACATATACTAAAACTGAAACAGTACAGAGAAAATTAGCATGGCCCCTGCATAAGAATGCAGCAAATTTGTGAAGCATTTCATATTTCTTTTCTAGGGCATCTAGATGGCACAGTGTATAGACTGCCAGGCCTGGAGTCAAGAAGACCTGAGTTCAAATTTGAACTCAGACACTTACTAGCTGTATGACCCTAGGGAAGCTGCTTAACCCTATTTGCCTCAGTTTCCTCATCTATAAAAGAGCTGGAGAAGGCAATGGCAAACCACTCCAGTTTCTTTGCCAAGAAAACCCTAAAAGAGTTATGAAGAATCAGACATGACTGAAACAACTGAATAACAACAGTACCTTTTACCTAAAACAATACCAAGGCCATGTATTTTGTGTGGGGAGGGGAATGGGGGGGGGGAAGGAACTTCCTCCAACAAGAAAAATGGGAACCCATCTATCTTTTATACTCTTGGAGAGTTGTTAGTGTTGTTCATGGATATTCAATGACTTGGCCTTGGTCACATAGGTAGTATGAGACTGAGTTGAGATTTTAATTCAAAATTCCTGACTTCAAGTTCAGCAATCTTTCCACTACACAATATTGTCTCACACTTTGTATATAGTAAAAACACAATACTTGCTGAATTGAATCAACTGCTCCTGAACCTGTACAAACTATAGAGGCCTTTATTACACTATCTTGTACCATTCCAACTTTCCATCTAACAGATGGAGAGTGGTGGTCATGAATAGGACTTAGTAAGGATTTGGGAGGTTATCTACTCTGTTCTGCTGCTTTTAGGGAGGCATTTATTTGCAACACCCCCAAAATAGTGTATTCTCTTCTATTCTGCAGAAGTAACCTCTTGTGTGGTGAAATTGAGTGACTTCTAAACTGGGTAGTCCAGATAAATAGATCTTCTTTCTAATGGAAATGAAATGTGTGACCTTGGAGAAATCATTTCACCTCTTTGGAGAAAAATTTCTGGGGTTTTAACCTCTTCAGCTGTAAAATTAAGTTTGGACCTGATGTTTCTTTAGGGCAGGGACTATTTTCATTTGTTTATTGTTCTCTGTATCCCCAATGTTTAGCATAGGGCCTTGGATGCTGTATTTTGTTGTTGTTGTTTTTGTACAAGACATCTCTTTTCATCAGAGTATGGAACCCACAGTATGGAAATTTCCAATAACAATGATTAGCAGCTAGTCTGGGGGATGTTGAGAGAGTACTGACAGCATTTAATAATTCTTCAGAAGCATAGAAAAAGCTGAGTTTATTATTTACTTAACAAGAATCATAAGTTAAACTAGGAAGCAATCAATGTCTGGCTTCCTTTTCACCCTCCGCTCTATGTTTGGTGTAATACTCCATGGGACATTCACAGAATTATCTGAGGACACTGAGAGACTAACTGCATGTTTATGCAACCAGTGTATATCAATGGTAAGACTTGAACATAGATTTCACTCACTCTATAGCTAGTTCTCTATCAAATATCTCATCCTAGCTCTTTGCCTTGAACATAATACAACATTAATAATTGTTTTATTGATTTGAATTAGTGTTCCTTTCAATCTCAGTCCCTTCATATAGGAAGTCCACCCCCAATCCCTATGGTCATCTGACCTTTTTTTCATTGCCATTGCTTTCTCTAGGTCCCACAATCACAACAAACACAACTCCCCAAAACCAATATTTGTCAGTATTTAATCTGATCCATCCTTGAAAGAACATAGTATGCTGCAGAAAGACCCTATCAGGAAAGTCAGAACAGCCACACATGACCACAGTATTATAGGACACTCAGACCAAAAGCAAGAATATACAGAAATTGTAAGGAATTAGTTCTTCATTACTCTGTACACTTGGAGTCCCCAGTCCATAGATGGATGAAAGTAAGAAGAGCTGTTTTGAAAGTCTAGGACTCAACAGAAGCCCAATAGCTACATTGCAAAGAAATCAATGGCATTCAGTCTATGCATTTGAAATTGGTGAACAGCCTTCTCTGGACCTAAGATGACAGGGATGTTTTTGTATGCTTTTTTTTTAAACAGGGCTCATAAGTCTTGTTGTAGACCAAATGCCTCTTACAAAACAACATTTTGATGAGTTAAGTGTAAATGAATCAGAAACATACGGATTAAATTTCCCTTAATGCACATGGATTTAGAAATTAAGGGAAAAATGCTTGGCAAAACTTATTTTGGCTTTTGCCAAACCCAAAGCATTGGAAAAATAGTTGGAGATGTTCAATGAACCAACCCAGGAAAACGTGGCCGGCTTCCCCTATCCCTAATTATGAAATCTTCATTTGTTCTCATATGAAGTATCAGGAGAGTCCATGGAAAATGAGAGACATTTCTATTGGAGGCGACGCCTGGTTCTAAACAAGACTTTGTGAGAAAATCCCTGTGTTTACACATAAGCATGCCAAACATTTGCATTTATTTTGCATAATTAATTGTGTAATCTTCAGAAGAAGTAGATTTCTTCCTTTAACCCTTGTGGAGGAAAGACAGTATCTTTCTCTCTGAGTGCCTGTCATAAATATATATTTAAAGGGCTTTCAATGGAAGATGTCTTTTCTTAATTTTTTCCATATGTTGTTCTTAGTAGGGATGATTTTTCTGACTGAGTGTCTCCTAAATCCTGCTGGGTAATGCTGCAGATGGTCACGGTTAACACAAGCATGTGACGAATCCCAGATGTTAGAGCAATCAAAGTGATGTGCAGATCTAAGGGAATACTCTAGGGAACAAATGAGGGATATCTTGTAGGGTCAGAAAACGTAATGAGGGTCAAACAAGAGGTGTGGGGGAGGATGGAGGAAGGGAACAAAAACTAGGAATCCATCAATATTTCAATTGTTGCAATTCATGTCTCCAAGAATGGAGTCAGGAAGGAAGTAATGCAAAGGGATGATATGTTTTACTCACACAGTCAATCACAGGAGTATATTTTCCAGAAGGAAGGAGGTGATATTCCCACTGTATTGTACATTAATCTGATTAAATATGGTGCATGAGAGTCAGTTCTGAATGCCACACTTCAAGGGGGATATTGACAAATTTAAGCCAGTTCTCATTATCATCAGAGGTTAGGAAATGATGTCTTATGAGGAATGATTGACATAAGGATACGTAGTTTGCAAAAAAGAAGACTTAGAAGAACATGGATGTTGTCTTCAGATACATGGCTGATAAATGGAAAAGCACATAGACTTGTACTGGATATGGTTCCAGAAGGGATAACTGAAACCAATCAGTGGAAGTAGCAAAGAGGCATATTTCAACTCAACATAAAGAGAATTTCCTGACATTAGAGCTATCTAAAAATCAAGGACCTCCTTGAGAAGTGATGAGTTTTCTATCATTTCAATTGTTCAAGGTAAAAGTGAATGAGCGCTTGTCAGAGATATTTAGAAGGGATTCATGGTTCAGATATCAGTTAATGACCTCTGAAGTTCTGTCCAGCTTCCAAAGTCATCTTTTTTTCTGCATTCAGCCTGGCATGTTTGTTACCTCCAAATGTTAAAAGACTAGGCATCATCATTTCTTATCTTAGTTAATATACAATCTGGAATAGCTTGATTTTATAGAATAAGAGAAATAAAATAGTCAACATTACAAATTTCCTGGCCTAAAGAGTCAGCTATACCAAACCTTTGCTAACTTAGGAAACAAGGCTACAATCAGCTGTGTCTATACCATGCCAAAATATCCAGCTGAAAAGTGAATTCAGTCTTTTTTCCTCCAGAAATCTCAGGGTTAGAGATAGAAGGGATGCCAAAGGTCATTGAGTTTAACCTGGAGCAAACCAACAGTAGTGTTCTCTACGATGTACCAAGAAAGTGTTCTTCCAACATGAAGGCCTCTATTGAGGAGAAATGCACTACGCCTGAAGGCGATCCATTCTACATTAGGTCCCCTGCAATTGTTAAGAAGTTTCATCCTTGCATTAAGTGAAAATCTCAAAAAGGTTAATTAAGCCCCATCATTTGACAGATGAGGAAATGAAAATCTAGCATAGTGAAGCAACTTGCTCTTGATCACACAAGTAATTAGTCTGGACTAGTTAAAAAAAAAACTAGTCAGGACTAGAATCAAAGTCTTTTGACCCACAGTTCAGCACTCTACATTACATGCCATTGTTTTGTTTGGTATGAAGAGGTTAACTGAGTCAGTTTTGCTTTTGTTTTGCCCATTTTTTTAGCCTCAATAAAAAGGCAAGGGGCTAACTAACATGAGAAATAGTGACTCTCAAGGAACCACTGGTGAAACTGGCAATAGTAAAGTTCTTACCTTGTTCTCTCTGCTTGGAGAAAACATGCTGAAATGCCCAAAAAAGCTATTCTTAATTAACTAGGCTGTGCTTCTTTTGTTGTTATTACGTTTCCCCCCAATGCCTTGGCATTATAATGCTTTCAAAAAAATAATACAACAAAACTAGAATCCTGCGGTTACTTGCTGATTAATGCAATACTGTTTCCTATCCAACCAATCTTTCTCTCTGCTACCAGCCAACCCACTGGTTCACATTCATCACCACTTTTTCACCTACTGACTCTATATCTTTCACTTCATTGACCTTTTCTCTTTCTTACCCAGTCTATGAGCCCCTAACCCCAAAACATCTTTTCTCTATTTTTTGTGTTTTATCTTTCGCTTATGTTTTGTGTGCTCAATTAAAAATGTTAGTGTGTGTTAGAAAGCATGTGTGCGCAGGTGCCAGTCAGTAAGCATTTATTAAGTACCTTCTATGTGCCAGGCATTGTGCTAAGTACTAAGGATGCAAACAAAAAATGTTTTTAAAGATCTCATTCTTAAAATCAAGATTTAAGATTAAGGCTATAATCTCGTAGGCTAAGGAGGGAGGAAAACATGCAAACAATTACAATAAAATATGAACAGGATAAATTGGAGATAATAAATAGAGGGAAGACACTGGAATTAAGAAGTATCAGGAAAGACTTCTTATGGAAGATGGGGTTTCAGCTGGGACTTAAGAGAAGCCAGAGGGGCAAGAAAGCAGTGATGAGAAGGGAGAATATTCCTGGAATGGAGAACAGCTGGTTAAAATTGCCAGAGTCTGGAGATCAAT